CTGATTTGTCTTTCCTTGTATGAAATATCTGAAATTATTTCCTGGAACTAAAGAGGACTCCAAGTTTATTGAGAAATATCACAGACCATAAGATGCCAATAGTTTCTCAGCTAAGGTTGGGGTTTTTAAACCCACTTCCCCACTTCTGTGGTGGCATTTTTGTGTGGCTTGAGTTTATATGGGTCTTGCCCATGTTGTCACAATTGCTGTGAGTTCATATGAGTAAACTGTCCAGTTGTCTGGAAAACTGTTTCCTTTTGGTCGTACATCATCTCTGGCTCTTGAGGACACAACTTTGACACGATAGGTCTTTATACAAATATACTAGAACACATGAAATTGGGCAGGGTGCCTTAAGAGAGGCTGCAGGTAATGGAGGGGGTCTAAATATGATCAAAATACATTGTAAGAAATTTGCAAAAATTCAATTAAAAATGAAAAAATAGAACCATAGTATGGTACTGAAAAAAGATTTTTTTGCAACTTAAGTCAATTTTGCTTCAGATCCTTATATGAGCATTTCTTGAGTGTTCTGTAGAAATATAACTAGAGAAATGAGACAAAGGCTTATATCTAAGTAGGCCAAACAAACATGATGTGACAGACTGAAGATACCAACCAGAGAGGAGGATTTTAAAATTGCTTCTTAAATACACAGTCTTTTCTGAGACAAGTAAGAGGTAGGCTCTAAGTTATTCCACATAGGAGGCAGTAGGGAGTCCAAGAGTTCATGAGGGAAGTGTTAGCTCTGGGAAGCAACAAGGGGTTTGAGCAGGCTAAGCCACTGTCCTTAGCACTTTTATAAAGACAACTTACTGGAACAGAAAATGTTTCAGAGACTGGGGAGCTAGAATAGAAAACTACCATCAAGCTATAGGAGAAATGCTAGTAAGAACTGCCAGGACAATTTCGTGGACAGTGGGGCTGGAGACACTACCTTCATTTTGCTACTGTGCCAAGGTTAGAACAGGAAAAGTTCATGACAGCTTCCCAACACAGGGTTGACTTGTAGGCTATTACTTAAACCAGCCATAGGAAGCTATGATTTAGAGACCAGATCTGGTTTGTTAATTGATTTTATATGGTGTTTAAACTAAGAATAGTTTTCATACTTTTAAGTAATTGAAAATAAGTCAGAATTCGGGCATGGTGGTGCACACCTTTAATCCCAGCACTCGGGAGGCAGAGGCAGGTGGATCTCTGTGAGTTCAAGGCCAGCCTGGTCTACAGAGTGAGTTTCAGACCAGCTAGGGCTACAGAGAGACCCTGTGTCAAAAAGACCAAAAAATAAAAAAAAGAAACTAAGTCAGAAGAAATCATAAAAATATTTTGACAAGCAAAAATAATAAGAAATTTAAATATCAGTCTCAAGCAATGAAAACTTACAAGACTATAGTCATGGCTCATTTGGTTCTGAATTGTCTATGATTGCTTTTGTGCTACAGTGACAGAACTGAGTAGCTGCAGCCGAAAGCCTATGGCCTGGAAAACCTAAAAGAGCTGTTACTTAGCCCTACACACAAAAGTTGCCTCGTGCTTAAGAAGCTGATGATAATTCTTTGGGATCACTAAATTATAAACATCATGAACATATTTGTTAAGACAGCTGAGCTGCACTGAACTGCTGAAATATGGGAACTGACAATGTCAGCAGTACTTAAGAAGAATGAACAAGAAATTTGGGAACAAGTGTTGTTCAGAACACAGAGGTGATATGCTCTTCAGGGCCTTGTTCTGACCAGCTCTTCTTGGAAGTGTTACACCCTTCCTTAAATTTTCACTGCTTGCCAAGAGGGCTGTTTGCAGTTCTGTCTTTGACTCCCCCTTATTTATCGTAGTTGTTGCTTTTGTTTTTTAGTACCACTCTAAAAATGACACATTAAGAAATGATATTGAACATGGGCCAGGTGTGATAACACATGCTTTTAATCACAGCACAGGCAGAGGTAGGCTCATCTCTGTGACCTTGAGGCCAATCTGGTCTACATAGTGAGTTCCAGGCCAACTGGGGCTACAGGGAGACTTTGTCTCAAAACAAACCAAAACCAACCAACTAACCAACCAATCAAACAAACAAACAAAAAATAAAAGAAAGAAAAATGGTATTGATAATAAAATTCAGAACATATTACTTGTCTTCTAGCACTTTACGGCCAGTAACATGTACCTATATTTTAATTTCTATATTCATTCAACTTGTCACCAATTTTACATGTTCCCAAATTAAAATAAAAATTAGAAAGCAATTTGGCAATTTGATGCCATTGAAGGAATTACAATTTAATGTATGTCTGAGGGTGAGTATAGCTAAGTTTCAAAGTGGGGAAGTCATGTTTGGGCAAGTATTTATGTACTTAAGGGGGCTACTTATAGAAGCACCCATTGAGATGTAAAATAGGTCTATTCCTTCATTTTATTTATGACTCTATGAGCACTTTCTAACCATATCTACTTTGGAGTAGTTTAGTATTGAATAACTGACTGAGGAAAAATGGTAACTAAGAAATAATAAATTATACTTCAATAAAAGTAAGATTTTAAAAAAAAGAAAGAGTTAAGAGATAATATAAGGAAGGCATAATATTTTAAATTGAAAATGTCTTCGTAATGTGGGCATTACCATTATTATTTTTATAATTAAAATAATTATGTTAATCATTCCTATTCCTAATAGTTGTATAATGATACTTTTTTCACTTGGGTGCTCAAAATACTAACATGACTTAAGCATTTTTGCCTTTACATAGCTCATTGGGTTAGGAGTGAGGAATCATAATCATTGTTTTTATACAGAGAAAACATGGGAGAGTACCAAATCTACTGGGGTATGACTACATAATAAATACGTTTGGTAGCAGTGCTCAGCAGCATGCTCTCATAATTGTTCAAGCTGTTTTGACTACATTCTCTTTTTTGTGCTTGTCCCATGGTATCCCTTCCGCCTCCTAACATCAAAGAAAGCATGCCATTAAAATAACTGTTGAAGGTGGGAGTCAGGAAAGGGTAGGCAGAGTAGATCCTTGATACGGATCCTTGAACTGCACAAAACACATATCTAATCTTCCTCAGTCATTTTTTTTTCATTTCTTTTTAAGCTCTCTCTATCCTTCTTTATCTCTCACCCATTCAATTAAAAAGTTCATTTATTATTTAAAAAGTCCACCATAAAACCAAAATATACATAGATTAAAATGAAAATTTCATTTCTTATTTCATTTATTACTGTTAATGATTCAGCACCTCCTATATTTTTGTTATGCACATACTATATAGGTTAATTATTTTAGAAATTAGAATGTAAAGTATATTATTCATACTCATATTTATATTTTCTGGTTAAATATATCATTGAGCACTTTCATGTTAATACATGTAGATTTTCCCTTATCAGTTTCATGACTGCATTGCTCATTTTTATATGTGAATTAAAAGTCATTGTCAAACAAACACAACTTGTATTTCACAACTTAACAAAGTGATCATGTACTTCTGATAGTTTTATCCTGTTTTCTTTACGCATAAATTCATATTCTTCTTCTGGCATGCATGGACATTTGCTAAGAATCCTTCCTTCCCCATATGAACCCCGAAGTCTTCTTACATCTGCTATATGCATCTCCTTTCTTCTGCAACAGATGAATAGCAAGCATTCAGAGGCAGAAGGGGCAGGCATCAGTTTGGGGAACTTCTTAGGCACAACCATGCATGGAAGAACAAACTCCTCTTGGAGAAGTATTTTTATATGGTAGTAAGTGCCATTCTAGGAACAGGTGTTTGGAATTCTACTCAAGGGAGAACGGGAGATCATAGAGGTTGGGGAGAGGAAGATGAAGTTTCCCTGGCTACCATCCCATGAGAAAATGACAGCAACAAGGGAAGAGAAGAGTCCCTAGGGGCCTACCCACTACAGCCCAGTACCTTCAGCCAGGGTAGAATCCTGTAGAGATGGTGACACCAGTGTTCCCTATGCAGTGTCCAGGCATACGGAAGTAATGATGGTGTGGCAGGACCAACGTGGTAACATTTCCTGGTGCTGCTGTATCAGAAGATGAGTGCTCTTGATTTACATAAGTGAAAGCTATTTATTGCAAAGTGCTTATAAGAAGTTTCCCTAGCCCATTTGGGGGTGTTTTTAGACAGAAGGGGTGTCCTGTGCCTTATTGACAGGTGGAGAGACTTAGCCCAGCATTTAAATGATCTGAGTCTGAATTCAAGCTGGCAATGAAAGAGCTGGAATTACAATCCTCTTTATTGTGATTAAATACCAAGCACCCCTCCACAAGTACCTCACGTTTCCCTCCATCTCTCATGTCCTGGACAAGTAGCACTCTACAAAGAGAGAAGTGTATTTTATTGAATGCCTGGGCATGAGAAAGAGCTAAACCCTTTTAAGTAACAGCATCAGAGTCAAACTCCTTTACCAGCACTGACTTTATTTTCTCTAGTTTCTGAGTTTGCTACCAACTTTTAAAACCTAAGGGAACAGGAACTTTACTAATAAAACAAAAAAACAGGCTTATCATGATGTGTTAGTAACATGCTTTGAGGTGCTGCAGAATACGTGGGAAGGCTAAAGTAATGCCGTGCAGAAAGTTTTTAGTAGCACCAAAGCTTAAGAAATGAATATTAACTCAAAGCCTCAGGTTCTTAGAGGCCTTTGAGAATCCCTTCTATATGTATCCTCAAAGTTTGGTTTGGAATTAAATAAGAAAACCAGAAGGCAAGTAATAGCTAACTCTAAAGCCTCACGTGCAGGCAGGGCACAACCATAGCTACTTTACATATAGTACACTTATTTAATCCTTCCATGAGATAGGAACTGTGTTATAAAATAAGACAAAGAGGAATCAAATTATTTGCCCAAACTCAGGTAGTCAGAGCCAGTATTAGTTTCAGAAGCTGCGACTCAAGATGGTACCCTATAATCTGAATGCCCTATATTCCTAATTTACCTAAAATACTGTACAATTTTCATATAATCTGTTTACTTTCCTCCTCAGGCCACCTGTGGTGAGGGCCAGGAAGAGAACCTGTGTGGAGCCCTGGGTTATTGGCCTCATCTCCTTTTTATCCCTGATTGCCCTGGCAGTGTGCATTGGACTGACTGTTCACTATGTGAGATACAGTACGTATGAGTTGCCCTGGCATCACGTGACTTAAGGACACACGTTTCCTCATGGACCTTCCTGTTTTGCCTGGCTTCAGCCTTGTTTCTTGATCACTATGACTCATTTGCATTGTTCAGAAAGAACCCCTGGCCTGGCCTGCTTTGTCTTTCATTCTAATCTCCACAGACCAAGGAAGATTCATCCTTCTCTCTTTGACGCAAAAGTGTTTCCTGATAGGAACAGAATGCTAGTTCTCACAATAACTGATAAGTGATAATGTGTTCAAATAGGGAAAGACAGGTTAGGGTTACTAGAATCCAGTGTTTTAAGTTGTTTGTGATCACAGGACAATCACCTTGATTTAAAATTCTCAATTCATCCAAAACCTTGACATCTCCCAAATGAATCACACAATGAAATAACATGGAAGGCTAAGCTCTATTCTGCACTTAGTAGTTTGGAAAAGTGTCCATGGTGGTATATTGGTATATTACTGAATAAGTGTCTATATCTGTTATTCAAAATCTCGTCTTGGGATGGAAGTGATTAAAGAGGACAGAGTCTGCTGAGAAAGTTAATTATGAGGAGGTTCGCTCTGGTTATCAGGTATCTCACTGCCAGATGAACTGTTAGTTGCTGTATTATTAGGAAGATCCCCAGGGTACCTCAGAGCTATTCTTCTAGGGTGTAACAGCACATCTGAAGGTTCACTTTACTGTGCCTTGGGTTTTAATTAGTTGACTCAACTATGACCTCTTAGTTTAATATCTCCCTGTGTGACTAAATTATGCTTTGATGTTAAAGGCCCTAAAATCATAGAAGCTAATCACTTGATTCTAATTTAATTGGCAATTTGATGAAGGTGCCTTCCTGTAGAGAGGACGAGTAATCTGTAATCTGGTTATCTTCCTTCACTATCCACAAAGTACAAGCTCAGTTTCCAAAACAAGGTGGATAGATCACTTTCAGGTAGTTTAAATATATATATATGAAACAGAGGGAATTTTCGTGGTGGAAACTACACGTATTCATATGCTTAAAATTGAGGTGTCTTTATTTTGAGAGTAGAGGTTTCTACGAAGCCTACTTTTAATTTAAAGAGTTGCTAAAATGGCATTACAACTATACAGATCTGCTATGAATACAGTGAGCCTCGTTATATTCTAAGCATGGTTATTTATCTCCATACACATGTAAGACTATGGTTTATTCATTTTGATGTTTCCAGAAATTTTCAGAAGTTTAAAATATATTAGATGCATTTAAAATGTTTATTCAATACTGAATGATTAAAAGCAAATGAATCATACCTCTTAGGCTTTTCTGATTTCACAAAAAAATTCCTACTAATGCTAGGGCCTTGATTATTTTTGCGAGAGAAACACTTCTTTCTGCCTCTTCTCTGCCTCCTCACAAGTCAAGGTTAATATGTATTATTCATATGCATACAATGAAAATCTGGCCATGTTTTCCAGAACTTCTTCCTATATCATAATGTTTATGTGATCAGTTCAGAAACACAGAGCGCATGACTTGCACTGCCCACACAGCACACCTGAATAAACAGTGATTCTTGTCTGTTACTGTCTTCCATGTGACGTGCCATCTGGGAGTGGAAGCTATTAACAAAATAGTTAACATGAGCACTCAGGAGCTCGCATGCCAAACTAAACGAATTTGTTACAGAAGCGAGATCAAAGTGGATATATTTGGAAAACAGCACTCTGAGCCTCACATTACAAAGTCTAGCTTAGAACTGTGTGTGTAGTTTGTGTCTAGCACGTTTGGGGTTCCATTTACACTCTTCTGTACTTTGGATGTCAAATGATGAATCTAACAAGCAACATTACTGTCAGCTGTGGACTCACAAAGCTGTTAGAAAATTACCCACAAACTTAGGTTCATTCACACTTTTCTTATTTTTAATAGTCTTGATATTTTTCATAACTGGAGATAGCATGTAATTCTATCTATTACATGCTACATGAAGGTTTTTTTTTTTTTTTTTTTTGTCTTTTGAGACAGGGTCTCCCTGTAGCCCCAACTGACCTGGAACTGCTATGTAGACCAGACTGGCCTTGAACTCACAGAGATCTGCCTGCCTCTGCCTCCCCAGTGCTGGGATTAAAGGCATGTGCCATCACACCTGGCATGAGATATGTTTAATACTTAATGAATGGCCTGTTTAAATCTATAGAGCAAAGTATTTAGCGTAGATAAGTTGTTCCTGTGGCTGATCTATATGAAAATGCTGATATCTGACCATGTTTTTCATACGTAAAAGACAATTTCAGATGATTCACTCTATAATTCAAAAGAGCCATGCTTAAGAGTATAAAAGGGAACCAGGTGGTGCACCTCTTTAACCCCAGCACTTAGGAGGCAGAGGTAGGCTGAATTCTGTAAGATCAGGCTAACCTGATTTACATAGTGATTTCCAGACCAGCTGGAGCTACAGAGAGAAGTTTTCTATTTAATATGTGGTCAAGTACCAGCTACATCAATAGCAGCTTGGAGCATTTAGAAATACAAAATCTTGGGTCTAATTTTGATGGGTTCCGCAGGTGGCCCATTAAACACTATAGTTTGAGAAGCATGATTGCAAACCAATGAATGCAGCTACACAGAAAGTACAGTTAACGACCATGAGACAGAAGTTTAAAATGCAACATAGGGCTGGGGAGATGGTTTGCTGGGTAAGAGTACTTTCTGTGCAAGTATGAGGACCTGAGTTTAAATGCAGAGCACCCACAAAAAAGTCAGGTATGGCCCATGTTCCTATAACCCAATGCTTGGGTGCTGATACAGGCTGGCCAGCAGCCTAGTAGGAAAAGAGCTTCAGGTTCAGGGAGAACCCTGTCTCAAGGGAATAAGGTGGGGAAAGATAGAGGAAGACACTTCCATCCTCCTCTGCACTCTACATGTGTCTACAGCCAGACAGACATACGCATGCACACAATAAAATAAAAGAAAATGCAAAATAGAATAGCAGTAGTTTATAAAGTCAGTTAAGCTACTTATCACTATTTCAATAAATTGAAAACCTTACTTGTGAGTATGTATACTTCCAGAGACCTGCCTGCATTTCATGTCACCTTGGTTATGGAGGGCTAGGTCATTTAGGGCAAGGTTGTAGGAAAGGACGGAGAGAAAACAAAACTTCCCTTGTCCCTCCCTTAAGTTGAGAATGCACAGCAGACACTGAAGTTCCAGTGTCTCTGTCTATAGCTCTCCTTCATAAGTCATTATTTGCTGCCCACCTACTATTTTTTCTGTCCTATCAAATCCTCTGGATGGTCAGGGTGTTCTTTTTATGTTTACCAGGGTTTTTGAATTTTATATTGAAAATTTCAAAGCTTCAGGAGCTAATAAGAAGACTCAGTGGGTAAAGGAACTGTATGCATAGGCCTTGCCATCTAAGTTTGACCCCTGAAACCATGTAAAGGTGGAAGGAGGGAACAGACTCCACAAAGTTGTCCTCTGACCTCCATACACATAACATGGGATGAGTGCCCACACACATACACCCTGCACATGACAAAGAATAGAAAGCTTTTTCTTTAGTGCCATAGTTTCAATGAGTGGCTATCTTTAGTTTCGTTTTGCTTTTTTTTTCTACTCTAAGAGGCTATATGTCAAAGATGCCTGTGCTTTGGGATGAGGCCTTGCCTTGAAATTCAGTCCTTTCTTTTCTGGCGAAGCCACATTAATTTTGGCCAGTTATTTATACTTTTGGGACTAGAAATATGCCTAAATATAGATAACACTGCTCTTTTTTTGAGACAGAATCCCATGATGTAGCCCTGGCTGCCTGTCTTATAGAGGTTTTCCACCTGCCTCTGCCTCCTGAATGCTGGGATTAAAGGCATGGGTAACCATTCCTGGCCAGCACTGCCTTCTAACAGGGTAATTATAAGTTAAATGAGTTTATGACTATGCCTGAGATTCTGGTGCTCCCTTTTCTCTGGGGGTTAAGGGAAGAATGAGAAGGAATGGAGAAGAGGAAAGAGATTGAGATGGGGTGAGGCACAGTCCATTTTCAACTGTCTTAAGTCACTGTTGTTTTTGTAACGCTTGACACATTGTCCCTCACAGAAATGTGGTAGGCTTCATTTTCATTGAGTAAAGACATGAGTCTCTGAGGGCTCTGTGCCTCCTTTGTGTATAGGTAGGGAGAGGAACCTATGCTACGTTAATGCTCAGTAGGTCAAAAATGAAGGTTGTGCAATCGGAAGCAGAAAGTTGCTGTAGTGGCTAAGGAACAGAAAGGACAGTCCTTAAACCTGCTGGGGGAAAAATGAATGTGGTGGCCTAAAAGCCCAATGAAACTGTATCGTCCATGGAATGTTATACCAGGTGGTAGTTCTAGCTCCCTACACCCCTGTTTACTGAATTCCTACTCTCATTTCCATTTCCAAACAAAATATATATTTTTTCACACTAGAATTCTGATGGCCAGACTTGAGTAGCTTACTGAACTGGGGAGGGGATTCACTTCTAGAATATAAAAATTCAACACTGGAAAGCTTCTGAATTCAACCTGATTTGTAGACTCAAATGACAGGACTGGCTGTCTTTTGTGCTCACTGGGTCATGGATAACATATGAGTAATCAGCCCACAGCGCCTTTGTCGGATGCACACAAGACTCCAAGAGCACCAGGCATTTATCACAGCTTTACACTCACAGTCATAGGATGGTGAATGTTGTTCCCTATTCTGAGATCACTCTGAATTCAGCCTGGAGCAGGATGATGGAGCTGATGACCAGGGGTAGGAGCATTCCTTCCTGTCTTAGTCTTTCTAGTATTCACCAAATGGAGTAATGATGCTTTATACACATCTGATAAAGATTATGATAGGTTTTTGCCGCTTTCCTTGTAGATCAAAGGAGAACTTACAATTACTACACCACATTGCCATTCACAAGTGACAAGCTATATTCTGAGTTTGGAAAAGAAGCTTCTAAAAATTTCACAGAAATGAGTCAGAGAATTGAATCAATGGTAAGTAGCTTCTCTATGTTTACAGCATCGGATGTAACCTAGCATCTAAAATATCCATTCAGTTGATCCCTGCACATCTTTGAAAAATGATAGGAGGTCATACCTAAGGAATATGAAATAGAACTCACACTCACAATCCATGACTTAGACAAAAATGCCAGCAAGGTCAAACCAAGTGGCATCTAGCTAGTCATGAATGTCCCTTTACTCACCTTGTTTTCAACTGTGTACCATTCTTGATCAGTACAGTCTCGAAACTCTGGGAATGTGAGGCTGGCCTCAAATAAAGTTTTTGTATGCTACACAGGCATCCTAATGAAGAGGCTCTGAGCTAAATATTGTAGAAGTTAAAACCATTCAGACATGTATATAAATGTTGTGCTTGCTTGTAAAAATATCTAATCTATGATATTTTGGTATGTAAGGCTATGGAATCCATGAATACTTATCTCCGTCCTTAAGACATCAGTATTCATCCTAAGGAATGAATCCAATAGTTAAGCAAATAGAAAATTGGCATTGTGAACCAAAAGAGCAAGGGTCTGAGTGATGAATTCTCAGGACCATTATATTACCTAAGCAACAATATGGACTTTTCCTGGTTTGTGAGGTAATTTATGGTATGGTATGATGGGAAGAAAAGTGAACAAGTTCCAGTACCATCTACCAGTCAGTGATGTGTTGTTTGGCTGATTACTTTATCATTCTGTACAAATTTCCTTATATGTAAAGTAAGGTGTTAGATTATATAATTTTCAAATTGTCTTCGAATTCAATATTCTGAATTGGAGCTGAATGGAAATAAGCTATATCAGTCTGTTTTTCTTTGCTGTAGTGAAATACCTGAGATAGCTTATTTGATAAAGAAAAGAGGTTTATTTTGGCCGACAGTTTGAAAAGTTCTAGGGCAAAGTGTTGCATATGGTGAAATCCATCTTGCTAGCAAAGTCTCAAAGTGGCCTAGTGTGTCACCTGATAGACCAGGGAGCACACGTGTGTATTCCTGTCTCTTTCGCTCCCTCCCTCTTCTTTGTAGCCACCAGGATTGGACCTTGTGACTCCACCCTAATAACTATATCTAATATGAATCATCTCCCAAATGCTCCACCTTTAAGCACCATAGTTGGATGAAATTTTCACTCTTTCAGTGTCTCACAATGGGGATTAAAGTGCAATGCATGAACCCTGGGAGGCATTTAGACCATATCTAAACCGTAGCCTGACTGGAACCTTTCCCAGAAACTGTAAATTAGCTTGCTGAGGAGGAAGTCAAATCTTGGTTATACATGTACTTGCAAGCAGTAGATGAGGGAAATATATAAAGAAACTTTTCTCTAAGGCATGTAAAATACGAAAAGGAAATGGAACTCAAAAAAATCAAGATGATACTATTTCCTTTGTTTATTGTGCCATCTACCAGAAATAATTTTCTAAGGTCCAGATTGATTTAAATAAAAAGGATTTCAATTGCATTAAAAATGAACTTTTCTGTATGAAACTGTGTATTTTAATCATGAAATGGAGATCTTTTTTAAAGGTTAAAACCTCATTTAATTTTATGTCTTATAGGGTTTATACTGAGTACAATATTGTATAACTGTAATAATTCAACTGTAAACCTAAAAATTTATAGCCAATTTTGAAAGAGATGCATCTTAGCTCAGGAAATTGTTATTGAATATATCAATGCTGTTGTAATGAAATGCTCCTTATAAGTATGTGGTTAATAAATAAATAATTTAAAAAGACCAAAAAGATAAATAAATAAATAAATAAATAAAGAGGAATATAGATAACTCTTTAATACCTCCAAAATCAGTATTAACTTTGAAAGTATTTAACATAAATAAATCCTTAAGTAATATCTTCCAAAGAAATCACTATTAAGAAGATGCTTTTGTTCTATGTTGGTTTGTCTTATAATTGTAGTATCAGTTCTGGGTACAAAGACTCAGGAATTAATGAAATGTAGGAAAAAGGGAAAGGTTTGTTACTTCTAGTGATCAACAGTGTGTAGCCACTGTTTCTAGATAATACCCATGTGCTGAAAATAAGAAATAATTGAAATCTTTACTTATCCAAACCCCTAATAAAAATTTTCGTTTGAATTATTTATAGTAGTAAAAAGTATCTTCATGAAATAATTCTCACATCTTGTTAGGAAACAGCATTGCTGTCATTGTTGAGTGCTCCAGTTCCTGGGTCTTTCTCAGAGGGTTCCCAGTGCTGAGTTGGGTACTCTGTGCCAGACAGCTTGGCAACTTTCTCACATGATGTCGCCACACTCATTTCTACAACCAACTGTAACTTGGGGGAAATTATTTCATTCCTTCTCTGAAACCATGAACCCAGACATACCTTTCCTCTCTTAAGTCTTTTGCTCAAGTATTTCATCATAGTTACAAAAAAATCTGAAAAATAAAAATAAACGCTCAATTTTCTTTGCTTATCTGCAGTAAAAGCTATTATGTCAGGTGAGACGCTGAACTCTTAAGTTTTCAGGAAACAGCCTGCTCATTGTCTTTGGTGCCTTTCTGAGTACTACACAGAGGTCCCCACTGGATCAGTGTAATGCTTGTTCTGAATACAGACGTCAGCTCCAATTACTGTGAAGGGATTGATTCTTCAACTTCGGAACATTGTGAAGTGTTGGTCAATGTTGTTTGTTTGTTTGTTTTGTCTTGTGTTATAATTTTCCCTAGAGAATTGAATTAACTTGCAGAATTTCAGAAATTGCTATTGCTGACATATTTTAAATCTTTCTGAACAGGTGAAAAATGCATTTTATAAATCTCCTTTAAGGGGACAACTTGTCAAGTCTCACATTATCAAGTTCAGGTATGTAGGCCTAAAATGCTGACTTCTGAATTTAACTCAAAGCTGAAATTTCTAGCCTGGTCAACAATAAACACATTTCAAAGTACTAATGATGGACATAATTCAGTATAATTAACAGTTATTAAATTTCTTTATTCACCACCTGCTTTGTGAAAGTCGTGGCTTCAGTGTGCTTTATTCATTCTCTAATTTGAAAATGAGCGTTTGCAAAGCATTTCTGTAGGACAGAAGTACAATTGGTGGTGATACTATAAAATTATTCTGCTTTTAAAAAAATAACCAAAACAGGGACTAGTTGAATAGCAAGTCATGAACTGTGTAAAATGAGAGTTTTATGTCTTCATGTCTTGGATCTCCTTCTCAATTGTTCTTATTTTCTTCTATTCTCTCTCTATGTATTTAATTTTATTTATTAAGTTTTGTGCATTTCATATAATAGCCCTTAATCACATTTAGACCCCCCTTAATCACATTTAGACCCCCCTTTACCATCCCCCAAGCCCTCCTCACTGGATTTCATGCATTCTGTCAATATGTGTTAAGTCTTATCTGGTCAAGGATTTGTACCCAGATGTACCTTGATGCAAGTTCATCCACTGGAGTATAGTCAGCTTATCTGGAATCTCTCCCTTAAAGAAAATCTACTCTCCCTCACCCTGCAGTAATCAGTTGCCAATAGCTCCTCAGGTGGTTGGAGCCCGCTGCCCATTTCCCCAGTTCCATGCTGAGTTTTTGTCTGATAAAAACTGGGTCTTTTGTATGCTGATATCATTGTTGCAAGTTCATATGAACAAGTTACTAGAGGCCTGAAAACGTCTTTGTTCATGCACCAACCCTGGCTCTTACACACTCTTTCTGCCCCCTCCTCTGCAATGATCCCTGAGCCATGGGTGGGTGAGGTTCAGTAGATGAGTCCTATCCAAGGACATACACTCTGCAGTCTCTTATTCTCTAAAACTTAGCCAGTTGTAGCCTTCTGTGTGCATCTCAGTCTGCTATATGAGGAAGCTTCACTGGTGAAAGCTGAGGATATTAATATTCTCTCTACTCCCCATTCCACTATGTTCCATGAGCCTTAGGTGTCAAGGTTCCACTGGAGATGTGTCACTTAGGGCTGTTCATCTCTCAGATACTTATTCTCTGTGTGTGACCAGTTGTGAAACTCTGTAATAGCCTCCATCTGTTGCAAAAGGATTTTTTTTTGATGAGTGGTATATGGTATACTTGTCTATAAATATAAGGATCCATATTTAGCATAAATTAAGAAATTTCATTTATCTAGAGATTTGACAGAGATAGGGTTTCCTCTAGGATCTATGACCTCTCCAGCCATGTGTATTTGGCTATATTTCTATTCTACATTTTTTATTTATTTTTATTTTGTGTATGAGAGTTTTGCCTGCACGTATGTAAGTGCACCATGTGCATGTAATGCCCTTGGAGGTCAGAAGAGGGTATCAGATAGAGTTATAGAGAGCTATTCGCTACCATGTGAGTGCTTGGAACTGAATCTGTTTCCTCTGGAAGAACAGCCAGTGTTTTTAACTGATGAACCATCTCCCCAGTCCCCTAGTCTATATTTTTATGCTTCATCTATTTAGCTAAGGAAATCTCAAGATGTTAATCAATTATTACTAAATAGACGAATTTAAAACATATTTTTTACTGTTATTTTATTTTTGGACATGGTCTTATTATGTAGCCAAGGCCTGACTGAGATTCTCAATTCTACTGCCTTGGTCTCTTGAGTGCTGAACACACATTTTATGTTAAATAATACATACGGCTTTTAAAGCATATATTAGTAATACACAGTTTTATTTTTCAAAAATAGGGTAAGAACTGTTTGGAGTGTTATTCCAAGGACAGACACTGAATTACTCCCAGTCTATGACCTAGCATTGACTTAGTCTATGATTGAGGCACTTCTTGGATCACTTTGTCCTGGAAAGAATATGCTGTGTTTGAGATTGTGTTTGAGATAGTATTTGAGATAGTGTTCTTGTTGGATATGCACCTACTTCTCTTTATATTTCTTCTATTTCAAAGCAACATGCCTACCTACATGGCTTCATTTGTTATTGGAATCCAAGTTCTTTTGATTTCTAAAACTATATGCCTGTCCATGTACATCTTCATAGGAAGTTGCACAGGGATCCCTTAACACATGAAGAACTTAATCACACCACTGGGAAACCAGAAGTCACCACACATGCCTTCTTACCTGCTCCCTCAGAGTTCATAAATACCCAAATTCTGCCGATGGTATTTCCAGTTATGTCCCGCTTTGTCCATCGCTTCATCTCCTGCTACTCATTGTTCTTTAATTATCCTTCTGTGCTGTAACGTAAGAAGTGCAAGTGTAGGGGAAGCATGAAATCATTTTGATATCTGTGAGGTAAGATACGAGCAGACCCTAGGAGCCTGCAAAATGAGTCTGATTTGATGGAGGGAAAGGAGACGGACCTGATGATATAAATTTGCTAAGCTTTAAGATCCAAAACACAGCATTATGTAAAAAAGAAAACAAAAGACTCTGTGCAATCATTCCATTCACAAAAAATCATAACTGTAACAATTTTTCTGAACTTCATTTTAATGACTACATTAATATATTTTGTTCTTAATTAACTGTATAGTATTTCACTAAAGGAGCTGTTAGTGTTGATTTAGACAATGCCCAAGTGACAGACTCTTGGGTTGTTTTGGCTTCAGAAAAAGGTCACAATGAATACATTAATATGTATGACCTTGAACACATTAATTTCTGAAAGTGACAAATGATGCCATGTCAGAGAGGATGGACGTTCAAATATATCATAGATAAATAAAAGTGGCTTCTGAAAACAAGATTGTCATGTGTATTCCAATCTATAGCATCTGAAAGTAAGGGTTGGTGCAGTATACAGTGAGGAATAAGGATTTGAGAGAACTGACTATGAGAAGGTGGGATAAAATCAGTCATGGTGGTACAGGCCTGTAATCCCATCACAGCTCAGGAGAAGAGGCAGGAGAATTGTGAATTGAATGCTAGACTGGACTACATAGTAAGACATTATCTCAAAGGAATGAGATAAATGGAAGAAGAAGGGATGGAGAAAGGGAAGAGAGAAAGGGAAGAAAATCAAAGGAAGGGGTAAGTAGCTGGAAGGATTATGCTGTTATGAGCTCATATAAATAGGATTAAGGCAAATTAATCTTTTATCTTAAAAATAAAATCATATGAAGCTATATAATTTGATGACTTTTTCTAAGTCTTAGGATTTGAACTGCTTTAGCACAACATGAAGGTGGCTTAGGAGCAGTAGGTGGATTCATCCTAAGAATTAAACCTGAAAATCCAAAACACAGTTGACTTCATGTTTGCCACACATTCTATTTGATAATTTTGAATGATTTGAGAAAGTAAGCACTGCTTTGTATTAATGAATGCACTTAACTAGATCATTTGGTGGGAAGGGATATCATGGGCATATTACCTTGCTGTCATGGAGGCTGAGTTGTGGGTTCTGTACATGGTAAACAATATGAGAGTAGAAGGAAAGGTTTGCGTGTGTGTGTGTATGTGTCTCTATGTGTGTCTGTGTGTGTGTCTCTGTGTGTGTCTGTGTGTGTGTCTCTGTGTTATATTTCAAATGAATGATAAAAACAGCCAGGTAGTGACATTACCATACATCAAACTTCCTCCCTCCATCCCTGCCTCACTGCCCCCTCCCTTCTCCTTCCCTTCTTTCCTTCACTTGTTTGGACTGCAGTAAAGAGGATGATGGAGTGTTGGCTCACATGCTGCTGATTTTTCGAATTCCCTCTACTGAGGATCCTGAAACTGTACATAAAATAATTGAACATGTTCTACGTGAAAAGCTGAAAAGTATTGCAGGACCTCCTGAAATGGATCCAGAATCAGTTGAAATTAAAAGTAAGTTGATTTCTCTTCTTTCCCTTACATACAACAATTCCACATTAGATTTGGACACTCTTTTAAACATTCTTAAAGATTAAAAAAATTAAAAATTACTTCCTTGGTTGTCTCCTTTGATGTACAGACGCTTTTTAGTTTAATAAGGTCCCATTTGTTAATTCTTGCCCTTGTTTCCTGGTGCCTCTCACTCTGTTGTATGAGGAAACTTTGCTGGTGAGAGTTAAGGGATGTATTAGCATTCTCTCTAACCCTGTTCTGCTATCTTTCATGAGCCTTAGGTGTCCAGGTTCCACTGTAGCTGTGTCACTTAGAGCTGAGCATCTCTCAGACATATATTCCCTGCGTGTGACCAGTTGTGGAACTCTGTAATAGCCCCCATCTATTGAGAAAGAAGCTTCTTTGATGAACGGTGTACAGTATACTCGTCTATAAATACAGGGATATATATTAAGCATACAGTAAGAAATTTCATTTGCCTAGACATATGACAGAGATAGGGTTTTCTCTAGGACCTATGACTTCTCCAGCCATGTGTATTTGACTATGTTTACCACCCATGAGTTCCCTCCCACTGAGAAGGCTTTAAGTCCAATTAGG